ATAAAAACCACAACCACCTGGATCTGCTCTGTTTCAGACTTCCTTGTTTCAAAATCTTCTCAGTGTATTTGCATTTTTCTTGCATCTTCTTCCTTTTTCATGTGTAGCTTAGTGGCCTCTGACACATTCCAACAACTGGAGTTTGAATTCTTAATAGGGACATAGTGAAAGTTTGAAAGCCAGCCAGGCAGCTGTGCAACTGTCTTTATGTATCTTACAGCTTTTGCACCATTAAGAAAACTGAGAGTGCAGGGCAAAGTGCTCAGTGCCAGCCAAAATAGCACACGCTCTAGGGATTTTACTGGGTGCTGATCTTTTAGCTTCTGTCTTGGCTCTTGAGAGTGTAGTTTAGCTCTTAAAGTGAGGTCACCTAGCTTGGAATTCATGCATCACCAGTTTCTTTGTGACTGTGGCAAGTAGCTTAACCTATGTGCAAAATAGAGACACAGTCACGCTGACCTCATGGGGTGGCTGCTGCTTCTTCCTTTTTTTTTTTTTTGAGACAGAGTCTCACTCTGTTGCCTAAGCTGGAATGCAGTGTTGCAATCTCAGCTCACTACAACCTCCATCTCCTGGGCTTAAGCGATTCTCGTACCTCAACCTGAATAGCTGGGACTACAGGCATGCACTACCATGCCTGGCTAATTTTTGTATTTTTAGTAGAGATGGGGGTTTCATCATTTTGGCCAGGTTGGTCTCAAACTCCTGACCTCAGGTGATGGACCCTCCTCGGCCTCCCAAAGTGTTGGGATTACAGGTGTGAGCCACTGCACGTGGCTGGGCCTTCTTAGAAGAATGAAAAGACGTACTGATACAAAGCACATAATAGGCACTTAGCAGATATTAGCTATGAAGGGTATTGTCATTATGGTAAATTATCACCACTTATATTTAGTAATTTCATTTTATAAACAGACCACCAATTGGCCAGTTTTTTTTTCTTTTTCTTTTTTTTTCTAAAGACCCAACAACGGAGCCATCTGTATTATGTAGTGGAGGTATAAAACATTCTTCTGTGTAATGAGAATGTAACTCTCAATGAATCCTGTTAGGAAGAAAAAGCCCTTCTGTATGGTTGGCATTCTTCCTTTCACCTTTGATGTGATTGTACCACGAAAAAGCAGAAACATAGGTGGGTGAATACATTTGTTGTTTGCCCACATAACATTAACAGCTGACTGTTGGTTTCTAAAGGAGTATGAAAAATAATCTTGAAATGAAGAGTTTTTTTGTGTTTGTAAATACTGTGGAAACGCTTTGTGTTTGAATTCTTCAGTTAAACCCTTAAAGAGTCCCTTTGATAACATTTGTGGTCTGATTAGTAAGGGGGTACATTGTACAGTAGCTGGAAATTCAGGAAAATGAGGAAAATGAAAATCCTGCTAAAATACCAGTGGCATTTCACATTTTGGCCTATTTTCACTACCTTTTATGTATTTAAAACAATTTGGGATTATATGCCTTTTCAACCCTATAGGCTTGTATTTTTCATTTACTAACTTGTTCTACAATTAAACGTTCTTTTACAAAATGATTTTATTTTTTTTCAGACAAAGTTTTGTTCTTGTCACCTAAGCTGGAGTGCAGTGGTGTGATCTTGGCTCATGGCAACTTCTGCCTCCTGGGTTCAAGTGATTCTCCTGCCTCAGTCTCCTGAGATGCTGAGATTACAGGTGCTCACCACCATACCCAGCTAATTTTTGCATTTTTAGTACAGATGGGGTTTCACCATGTTGGCCAGGCTGGTCTTGAACTCCTGACCTCAGGTGATTGGCCTCCTGAAGTGCTGGGATTACAGTCGTGAGCCACCACGACTGGTCTTTTGCAACATGATTTTATTTTATTTTTTGGAGACAGAGTCTCACTCTGTCACTTAGGATGGAGTGTAGTGATATGATCTTGGCTCACTGCAACCTCTGCCTCCTGGATTCACGTGATTCTCCTACCATAGCCTCCCGAGTAGCTGGAATTATAGGCATGCGCCACCACGCCTGGCTGATTTTTGTATTTTTAGTAGACATGGGGTTTCACCATGTTGGCCAGGCTGGACTCGAACTCCTGACCCTCAAGTGATCTGCCTGCCTTGGCCTCCCAAAGTTCTGGGATTACGGCTGTGAGCCATCATGCTCAGACACAACATGATTTTAAAAACAACTGTGTGCTGTTCCACCATATGAATCTTCTATTACTGATTTAAACCCATTATATATTATGGAACATTTAGAGTTATTTCCAGTTTTTCACTGTGGTGAACATTCATGAAGCTAAACCCATTCATGATGAATTCTATTTCCCCTGTAAGCAGTATCCCCAACATTTAGTGTCATTATTTTATTTTCCAATGGTATTTTGTTGTTCAATTTTTGATTTACTTATGCACTAGTGAGGGTGATCCTGTTTACCTACTTTTCATATATTTAGTAGCAATTACTTGGTGTTTGTTTGTGAGTTGTTTCTTTAGGACCCTTATACATTTTGGTCGGAATGTTAGTCTTTTCTTGCGGTGGAAAGCTATTTATAAAGGAGGGATATGAACTGTTTTGTCAGTTATTACAATAATTAGCTTGTTTTAGTTGCCTGATCATGGCCAGCTTAAACAATATTTATTGGACAAACGGACAACAATATTTGAAAGAAAGCATATCTTCTTTTTTTTTTAGACGGAGTCTTACTCTGTTGCCAGGCTGTAGTGCAGAGGTGCAATCTCGGCTCACTACATACAACCTCCGCCTGGATTCTTCCACCTCAGCCTCCCAAGTAGCTGGGATTACAGGCACGCGCCACCACGCCTGGCTAATTTTTGTATTTTTAGTAGAGATGGGGTTTCACCATGTTGACCAGGATGGTCTCAATCTCTTGACCTCGTGATCCACCCGCCTCGGCCTCCCAAAGTGCTGGGATGACAGGCGTGAGCCACCGCGCCCGGCCAGAAAAGCATATCTTTTACATCAGTTCTTTAATTTTTTTTCATGTTCTTAGTCATCGCTGTGTAAATAGTAGTCATGTAATTTAGAGATTACTAAATGAAAAGCATAGGTAGAGTTTTGTATTCTGACTTAAGAGTCACGTGTCTCATTCTTTTAAAGCTCTGCCTAAGAAATGCAGTACAGTCCAAAAACCCCATTCCCAAGAAGTCAAATGTGTTTAGAATAAATCACCACTTATGTATGCTTGAGTCTGTTTCCCCCTTCAGCCCCCCGCCGGGATTTGAAATGATAAAATTAATAATTACTATCTATCCAAGAATTGTGTTGGTCATCAAGACACCTAATACATTTTATGACCCCATAGGTCCATGTCATCTGTGAACACCTGAAACTGTCCACATATTTAAGGCCTGCCCTCCCTACCCTACCTGACCGATTTGCCTTTCCCTCCGCCGTCCTGAGGGGCAGCAATCCTAAAGGACCTGTCGTCTGACCCCTGCCTTTTCCCTGTCTCCTCGGCAGCTGTTCTTAAGGGCTTCCTGGGTGCTCTCCTCTTAGCACACTTACTAAGGCCCCCCAGGCAGTTTTCTCCAACCACACAGGCCTCACGGGAACAAGTGATATGTGTCTTCTCTGGGTCTGGCATGTAAATTGTTACACCACAGATATTTAAATACCCCTTATGTTCGAGGCCGTAGGGTTAAATACCCCTTATGTTCGAGGCTGTAGGGCTGCAAAAATGAACAAAATAAGGGTATGACCTGAAAGCGGCCAAATACCCCTGGGGACACAGATAAGTAGGCAGGCAACGGCTGTCTCAGGGACAAATATTTCAAGGCTTATTTTATAGTTTTTTTTTCTTTGTCTCTCTCTTTTTTTTTTTTTTTGAGATGGAGTCTCACTCTGTTGCCCAGGCTAGAGTGCAGTGGCACCTCAGCTCATTGCAGCCTCTTGCCTCCTGGGTTTAAGCAATTCTTCTGCCTCAGCCTCCAGAGTAGCTGGGATTACAGCTGCCCACCCTCGTGCCTGGCTAATTTTTGTATTTTTAGTAGAGACGGGATTTCCCCATGTTGCTCAGGCTGGTCTCTCACTCCTGACCTTGTAATCTGCCCACCTTGGCTTCCCGAAGTGTTGGGATTACAGATGTGAGCCACCGTGCCTGGCCTATTTTATAGTGTTTTAAGAAAGGAGGGGGCAGGAGAGACAGTGGTTGTGGCTGTCTGTCCTAACCACTTGCATATTGAGGCCTTCGCCTCCCCTCCCTGTCTCATCTTTTAAGAGAGTAGAAGAACCTGTAATCTCAGCACTTTGGGAGGCTGAGGTGGGTGGATCACGAGGTCAAGAGATCGAGACCATCCTGGTCAACATGGTGAAACCCCATCTCTACTAAAAATACAAAACATTAGCTGGGCATGGTGGCACGTGCCTGTAATCCCAGCTACTCAGGAGGCTGAGGCAGGAGAATTGCCTGAACCCAGGAGGTGGAGGGTGCGGTGAGCCGAGTTCGCGCCATTGCACTCCAGCCTGGGTAACAAGAGCGAAACTCTGTCTCAAAAAAAAAAAACAACAACAACAACAAAAAATGGAGAGAGAGTGGAAGGACTATCAACTCAGTTTTGTTTTTATCAATAGGTAATGTGGTACAGTGGTCAAGAGTGACTTGAACCTCTGAGCCTCAGTTTTCTTATCTGAACAGTGGGGCCAGTGCCTTCCTGTGGGCTGTGGTGATGGGTAAATGAGATTAATAGTAATGCCAGTTACAGAGATACCGCTCACTACCTACCAGGTTTGTGTTGTCTCACGCATGGAAGTAGCCTCCTCCAGATTGTTGATGTTGAATACATGGACTTGGTCTGGCCACCCCTGAGGACAGAGAATAACTGAGAACAAAATGATCTTGTCAGACACACTGCCTGGTTTCCTGGTGGTGGGAGGTGTTGCCAAGATGTGCACTTTGAAGGTGGGTGGGGCCAGAGTGAACAAAAGTCCTTCTCCAGATTTCAGCAGTGCAGATGGGAAGGTAAACAGCCCTGCATGGGCCTGGCAGTAAGCCTCTACCCCGTCTCCTCACAGGATGGACCCCACAGTGTATGCTGAGCTGTTGAAAGAATCTGGCAACCAGGTTCTTAAGAACGGAAACTTCTCTTTGGCCATCCGAAAGTACGATGAAGCCATCCAGATTCTCCTGCAGTTATACCAATGGGGGTAAGTGTTCGCATTTCACCCCACTTTTTCTTTCTCAGTACAGGGGACTCTGTTCCTTATGTTTTCTTTTCAGTTCTTATTGTTCCCCGAAGTTTCTGTTTTCTTTCTCCCTCACTTCCTATTTATCTTCTCTGCACTGTCAGCTTAGAAACTGTAGGGAGATTGTTTGTTTAAGAAGGGAAATAGAAAGTGAAACAGAGGGCTGTTGATAAACGAAACAAAACTTCTGCTTCTGGCTGGCTGGGGTTGGATTTCTTGGGATGGTTGAAGTCCCTGAATGAACCTCCTGGTTGTCATTCATTTCATCTTCTTGATTATCTATGCCATTTACTCTCTGGCCCCAGTGCACCCTGCCCCCCCCACCTGCCCTTGCCCCCCGCCCCCCCTGCACTAAGGTTCACCTTCTCTTTCCCTGCCCCCCCCACCTGCCCTTGCCCCCCGCCCCCCCGCACTAAGGTTCGCCTTCTCTTTCCCTGCCCCCCCCACCTGCCCTTGCCCCCCGCCCCCCCGCACTAAGGTTCACCTTCTCTTTCCCTGCCCCCCCCACCTGCCCTTGCCCCCCGCCCCCCCGCACTAAGGTTCGCCTTCTCTTTCCCTGCCCCCCCCACCTGCCCTTGCCCCCCGCCCCCACGCACTAAGGTTCGCCTTCTCTTTCCCTGCCCCCCCACCTGCCCTTGCCCCCCGCCCCCCCGCACTAAGGTTCACCTTCTCTTTCCCTGCCCCCCCCACCTGCCCTTGCCCCCCGCCCCCCCGCACTAAGGTTCACCTTCTCTTTCCCTGCCCCCCCACCTGCCCTTGCCCCCCGCCCCCCCGCACTAAGGTTCACCTTCTCTTTCCCTGCCCCCCCCACCTGCCCTTGCCCCCCGCCCCCCCGCACTAAGGTTCGCCTTCTCTTTCCCTGCCCCTTCAGCTTCTCGTAGACCTGTTCTCAAACATTGTAGTATCACAACGTGCTTAAACATTTCTGAGGACCCCCAAAGAGCTTCTTTTGTTTATGTAGTCTGTAGCTGTCAATACAGTATACTAGAACTTAAAACAGAAAAAAGTTAAAATATGCATTTATTTAAAAATATCAACAAATTTGCCGGGTGCAGTGGCTCACACCTGTAATCCCAGCAGCTTGGGAGGCTGAAGCGGGCAGATCACCTGACTTCAGGAGTGCAAGACCAGCTTGGCCAACATGGTAAAACCCCCGTCTCTACTAAAAATACAAAATTAGCTGGGTGGAGTGGCACAGCCTTAAAATCCCAGCTACTTGGGAGGCTGAGGCAGAGAATCACTTGAACCAATTACAGTGAGCTGAGATCGTGTCATTGCAGTCCAGCCCAGGCGACAAGAGTGAAGCTCTGTCTCAAAAATAAATAAATAAATTATCAATAAATTTATTACATGTATTTTTATTTTTTGAGACATAGTCTCTCTCTGTCTCCAGGCTGGAGTGCAGTGGTGCGATCTTGGCCTACTGCAACCTCTGCCTCTGGGGTTCAAGTGATTCTCCTGCCTCAGCCTCCCGAGTAGCTGGGATTACAGACATGCACCACCAGGCTCAGCTAATTTTTGTATTTTTAGTAGAGATGGAGTTTCACCATGTTGGCCAGGATGGTCTTGATCTCTTGATCTCATGATCTGCCCGCTTTGGCCTCCTAATGTGATGGGATTACAGGTGAGAGCCACCACGCCCGGCCTACGTGGTGTATTTTTAAACTATATTTTCCAAAACAAAAACTTGCACATTTTTGCATATCTCCTTAATGCCTTGGCTCTGTAGAAGACAACTGGCTTCTAACATCAGCATTCAGTCTGTTGCAGTATCACGTCTCATACAGTTTCTGGAAAACTCCCTGTGTGAGTGTGAGGGAGTGAGTATGAAAAAGGCTCATTGATGTCTTACTGTATTCGTTTCCGGTTGCTGCTCTAACGAATCACCACCAATTTAGGGCTTAAAGCAATACAGATTTACTGTCTTGCAGTTCTGAAGGTCAGACGTTCTAAACGAGTCTAATGGGGCTAAAATCAAGGTATTAGCAGGGCTGGTTCTTTGCGGAGACTCTGAGGGGAGATTCCACGTCCTTGCCGTTCTCAGCTTTGAGTGGCAGCCTATATTCGTTGGCTTGTGGGCCCTTCCTTTATCTTCAAAGCTTATCATTCCAATCTCACTTCTGTTATCACTTCCCCCTCTTCTCAGCTGTGCTCCTGTCTCCCTCTGTCTCTCTCTCTCATAGCGATCCTCGTGATTTTTTTTGTAATTCAGGATGATCTCCTATTCCTAAAAGCCTTAGACTGATCACACCTACTACATCTCTTGTTAATCACAGAAGTTAGTTTTTCTGCACATAGAACAGTATTTGGGGGCCATTATTCAGCTTACCACAGTTGTGAAAGTACACCTTGGGGGTCATCTGCAGTGGTCTTGAGGGTCCTCAGAAGTTTCCAGATCATCTTTTGGAACAGCTGCAGTAGAGCGAGCAGAGGTTGGCCTCTGTGGGGTGCACACAGCCTAAGCTTGTGCTAGGAAATGGCACCAAATTAAATGACTGAAACACAGCGCCCACCTCCCACTCCCATCTCCTTGATGTCTGCACTCTAGTTGAGCTTGAGTAGAGTCTAAGTGGCTTGTGCCTGTAATTTCTGCAGTTCTGCCTTGTCTTGGTACAGGTCAGAATCGTGTCAGAGCCAGGCCTAGAGATCCTCCATCAGGGCAAACATTCAGCTTTCTTAGAGGTCGTATTGTATAGTGGTTCTGGTTGTAGTGTGACCCCATACTATGTGTGTTCAGCGCTCAGCTCTGCCACTTACTTTGTGACCCCTAATGGGACTTATGCCTGTACATTCATACTGCCTTTTACGGGCCATTCCTGACACTGTTTCCCTTGCCCATCACCTGCTGCTGGCCTTCCTGCCGCAGCCAGCTAACACTGAGACTCAGGTGCGTGTGATTTACAGCGTACCTGCAGGAGAAGGGGACTGAGGGGGGCAGGATTGCCCAATGGAAGGCTCTAAGCATGGATGGTGTCTAAACCAAGCGAGATTTCGCCTGATCACATGGGCAGCTCTGGAGCATGAATGTGCTGCAGAGCTGGTTCCACTTTGAGGCAAGGGGGTTGACTATTTGATTCTCATGTCAGTCAGCCACTGGCTTTAGGCTGTCTGGCCCCGAGCAGTCATTCTAGGCAGTGGGGCTATATTACTCTGCGTGGGCTGCCATAACATAATAGCACAGACTGGCTGGCCTAAACAACAGAAATTTATTTCTCAAAGTTCTACAGGCTGGGAAGTCCAAGATCAAGTTGCCCCCTGTGAGGGATGTCTTCCTGGCCTGATGGTTGTTGCATGCAAAGAGGGAGAGAGCAAGCTCTCTAGTGTCTCTTCTTATTCCTTCTGAGGGCCTTACCTTCATGACCTCATCTAAACATAACTACCTCCCAACAGCTTCGTGTTCAAATACTGCCACATTGAGCGTTAAGGCTTCAACATAGGGATTTTTTTTTTTGAGACGGAGTCTTACTCTGTTGTCCAGGCTGGAGTGTAATGGCGTGATCTCGGCTCACTGCAACCTCTGCCTCCCGGGTTCAAGTGATTTTCCTGCCTCAGCCTCCTCAGTAGCTGGGATTATAGGCACCCCCTTCACCACTATGACCGCTAATTTTTGTATTTTTAGTAGAGACAGGGTTAGTCAGGTTAGTCAGGCTGGTCTCAAACTCCTGACCTCAGGTGATCTGCCTGCCTCCACCTCCCAAAGTGCTGGGATTACATGTGTGAGCCACCTCGCCCAGCCAACATAGGGTGTTTTTTTGGCTATTGGGGGCGGGGGAAGTTCAGTCCATAGTGTGGGTGTGACTCCTGGGGAGAGGGCAGCTCTCATTAGGCTGAGGATAACTCTCTGGAGAACAGGGTGCTGAGAACCTCTAGCTACAGCCAACAGACATTGCAGCTGGGAAAGACTACACTAGCCAGGGTGTCTGGGACAGACCCATGGCATCTCTTCCACCTGTGGTCACAGCTCCCTAGCTGATCTCCCGATACTGACCCACTGCCTCCTGTGTGTTTCTGGGGCCTCATTCTTTCATCTAGAGGTTATGATAGGCCATGAAAGAAGCCAGGCACAAAACACTGAGGGTGGGGACAGTAATGGAGGTGATTTTTCCTTTATTAATATTTTTGTGCTTATCTGTATCATCTACAGTGATTTCTGTATTCTTCTACAGTGGTTTGTGTTATTTTTACAATTAAGATTTTTTTTTTTTTTTGAGACGGCGTCTCACTATGTCGCCCAAGCTTGAGTGCGGTGGTGTGATCTCAGCTCACTGCAAACTCCACCTCCTGGGTTCAAGTGATTCTCCTGCCTCAGCTTCCCAAGTACCTGGGACTACAGGGGTGCACCACCACACACAGCTAATTTTGTATTTTTAGTAGAGACAGGGTTTCAACATGTTGGCCAGGCTGGTCTTGAACTCGTGAGCTCGTGATCCACCCGCCTCGGCCTCCCAAAGTTCTGGGATTACAGGCGTGAGCCACCGCACCTGGCCACATAGGATCATGTGGTCAGGAGTTCGACACCAGCCTGACCAAATGGTGAAACTCTGTCTCTACTAAAAATACAAAAATTAGCCAGGCATGGTGGTGCGTGCGTGCAGTCCCAGCTACTTGGGAGGCTGAGGCAGGAGAATCGCTTGAACCCGGGAGGTGGAGGTAGCACTGAGCCAAGATCACACCATTGCACTTAAGCATGGTCAACAGATCGAGATTCCATCTCAAAAAGAAAAAAGAGAGATATTAAATAAATAAGTCATAAGGCTTGTTTTTTTTTTTTTTTTTCTTTGTATCTTACATTCAATTGGTAGCTGGGCTTCTCTTGACACATTGTGGTTTGCTTTGAATTTTCCTTCTTCTTCTGGCCTGGTTTCAGCAGTAACTTGCAGCTGTGTTACCTCTAAACCCAGGCAAGAGCCATCCCTGCCCTGCCACGCTTTAAAAGGCCCCCTTTGGCCATCTTCCAGCTGCGCCCCTCCTCGCAGGCAAGAGTCTGGGGCAAGGGCCATACTCACCCGAGAGAAATCACCCAAAGTAGATTTCTTGCCTCCACTTTGGTCTACACTGTGGGTACCAGGACTATGGAACTCTCTGCCCATACGCCCTGCTCCTCCCAGGGCCTGCACAGGCCTCTTACCTGCAGCCCATTCTTCTGAGGGCTGGCAGTGAAGATGGTGTGATTCCATGTGGAGATCAGTGAGAGATGGAACCGATGTGTTGAGAACATTTGTCTTTAAAAGATGGGAGCAGAGTTTTCGGGAGTGAGGAAGGACAGATTTATAATTTGCAAATGTTCCAGGCTTTCTGGGGGCTTGGGAGACTGATCTGATAAGCATAAATGAGTCATTTCCTACTGAAACCCCTTTCCTGAAGGCAGCAGCCAGCGCCAGAATGAGGGACTTCAAGGAATGTTTCCTGTATTTGCAGAACCATGACAGAGCACGGATTTGTTCTTACAGGGTTCCCCCGAGGGACTTGGCTGTGCTGCTGTGCAACAAATCAAATGCATTTTACAGCCTCGGGAAGTGGAATGAGGCATTTGTTGCTGCCAAGGAATGCCTCCAATGGGATCCAACCTACGTGAAGGTACGGGGTGGGAGGGGAAGGTGTGGGGTGGGAGGGGAAGGTGTGGGGTGGGAGGGGAAGGTGTGGGGCGGGAGGGGATGGTGTGGGGCGGGAGGGGAAGGTGTGGGGCGGGAGGGGAAGGTGTGGGGCGGGAGGGGAAGGTGTGGGGCGGGAGGGTGACGGTGTGGGGCGGGAGGGGAAGGTGTGGGGCGGGAGGGTGAAGGTGTGGGGCGGCAGGGTGAAGGTGTGGGGCAGGAGGGGAAGGTGTGGGGTGGCAGGGTGAAGGTGTGGGGTGGGAGGGTGAAGGTGTGGGGTGGCAGGGTGAAGGTGTGGGGTGGGAGGGTGAAGGTGTGGGGTGGCAGGGTGAAGGTGTGGGGTGGGAGGGGAGTTGCAGTATTGGGCACTGGATGAAAGTGTGAGAGGATGAGTGAAGTAGTGGGGCAGTGGCCTCTGGGGGTGGCAGCTGCCGCCCCCTCCTCTTAGCCTGCCTCTTTCCGTTCCTTTTACAAGTGGAAATGCTAGGAATGCTTCTAGTTCAGCTCTCTTTGCATCTTCAGACAGCTGCCCATAGGGCATGTGATCTTTATCTGGAGAAGAGTGAAAACAAGGGTTGCCGAGTGTTGAAACACACTGTGTAGGGACCGCAGAGCTTGGCCTCCTAGTGGATGAAGCACAGTGCAGATTTCAGAGGAGCTGGTTTTGTTCTGAGGTGGTTACACCCAAACTCATATCTGTTCATGCTCTTTGCTGTTTGCAAGTTTCATTTGAGCAAAGCCTTACTTCAGACGCAAGCTGGGTGAATGACACAAGACCGATTCTTCAGAAGGCATTGATAACAGTAGAAGCCAGCTTTTTGGAGGGATCATGGAAGTTTGGAGGCCACTAAGACCCTTTAAGATTGTTAACAAAGGTCAAGAGACATTATTTGATTGTTTTTTCCTCAAAAATGCTCTGAGTGCCACTCTTCATGGCACCTTTACCGCTCTTGGTGCCTCAAGGCAGACAAAAGGAGGGGAAGACTTAGAGTAGCTCTAGAGTAGTTTGCATTCAATCTGGGGAGAAGCAGAGCATTAAAATCAGAGACCTTAAATTCAATAGCAACTCTGGAGCATCTGAAGCAGCATGCAGTGTGTGACTGCTAGGAGCAGAATGCGATGGGAAGGGAGTAGTGGAGGTTTGACCCGTGGAGTACTTCAACTTTGAGAGACGGATTTGGATATTTTACATAATAAGTGGACCCTGACTCTTAAACGTATTTGATTGGAAGATGAATACGTTAGAAAAAACCTTGTCCAACCTGGGGTCCAGGACAGCTTTGAATGTGGTCCGACACAAATTCATAAACTTTCTTAAAACATTGAGTTTTTTTTTTTTGAGACAAGTTTTGCTCTTGTTGCCCAGGCTGGAGTACAGTGGCGTGATTCCCAGCTCACTCCAACCCCTGACTCCCTGGTTCAAGCGATTCTCCTGCCTCAGCCTCTAAGTAGCTGGGTTTACAGGCACGTACCACCATGCCCAGCTAATTTTTGTATTTTCAGTGGAGATGGAGTTTTACCATGTTGGCCAGGCTGGTCTCGATTTCCTGACCTCGTGATCTGCCCACCTCCCAAAGTGCTGGGATTACAGGTGTGAGCCACCATACCCAGCCTGTGGTGGTTTTTTTTTTTTTTTTTTTAAATTTTTTATTTGATTATAGGTTTTGGGGTACATGAGCAGAGCATGCGAGACAGTTGCGTAGGTACACACATGGCAGTGTGCTTTGCTTTTCTTCTCCCCTTCACCCACATTTGGCATTTGTGGTGGTTTTTTTTTAACGCTCACCAGCTATCATTAGTATTAGTGAATTTTATGTGTAGCCCAAGACAGTTCTTCCAGTGTGGCCCAGGCAAGCCAAAAGATTGGACGCCATTGCTTTAAAAGTTATTGACCGGTTTCGAAAATGGGAGTGCATTCGTGGGAAATTTCTTCCCAAAGGTATTTTAGGATATTCCCAATTCTCTAGCTGGGACGGTGTTAATATTTGGGTTTTGCCCACATCTCTGAAGTGGAGGCTGTGACTGTGACCCAAGGTACTTGATGCTTTTACATCAAGGGGCCCCTCCTTTGAGTGGCCAAACCTGCAGCAGCCCCTGACAGCACAGCAAATTAGATTGACAAGAAACAGATTAGTAAGAGACAAGTATACAGATTTCATTTGATGTTGACTTTTATATGCCAAAGGAATCTTCCTAGAAAAGAAGTAAAGCTCCAAAAACGTAGACAGGTCTGAGATCATCTATGATATTTTTAATAAAAAGTAATAAATTGTAGAGATGTGACAAGACAAAGGAAAAGAGTTTTAGGTCTGTAGGGGCTGCACACTGTGGGAAGGTGTACGTATGTGGGAAGATAAGGGCTATCCTAGCAAGGTTTGTTCAGGCCAGTCTTGGTGCTGAATTTCTCTCTTCTTCATGGCCATAAAACTTCCCTGGGAGAGGAGATTTATGGCAGTCCTCATTTCTTCAGAGTTTCTGCTTTTTAGTCAGTTTGAGCCTTCAGCTCAAAATAATCCTTATGCCAAAATGGCATATTCTATCCCCTTCATCTTCCTCAAAATAAACAGACAAATAAACAAACAAACAAAAAAACAAAAAACCAAACTCTTAAATCTGAGGAAGGCAAAGAAATGGGAGATTCTCTACTAGGTTGCCTGGTTAGAAAAAATAAAACACAACTTTTTACCTTTTCTCCTCCTTCCTTTGTTATCTGAGGTCTTCAAACTTTCAAATGAAGGTTAAAACACATCAATAAATAGTCAGAAATTTGGTATTATATGGAATTTTAAAGTACTTCCTATTTTATGAACCCAGTTGGTGAACACCTGTTACCATTTTTTTTTTTTTTTTGAGAAAAGATCTGGCTTTGTCACCCAGGCTGAAGCTCATGGGCTCAAGTGATCCTCCTCCCTCAGCCTCTGGAATACCTGGGACTACAGGCTTGCACCACCATGCCCAGCTAATGAAAATTTATTTTTATTTTTATTTTTGTAGAGACAGGGTCTCACTATGTTGCCCAGGCTGGTCTGAAACTCCTAGGCTCAAGCAATCCTCCTGCCTTGGCCTCCCAAAGTGCTGGAATTACAGGCTTGAGTCACCACACCCAGCCTCCCGTTATCTTAGACAGAAAATTGTTTCCGTAGATACCTGAGGTTGATTCGGATGATCAAAGTGGTGAAGCCAATATAATTTTATTCTTATTCGAAGAGTCATATTATTTGTATATGGGCAAAATGTGACCATTTTCTTCTATTGATCATTGTAATTTTCTTCTTTCTATAGAAATCAAATATTTCTTTGACCTCTCGTGAATATTGCTTATAATGTAGAACTCAGTAAATCTCAATGTTTGTCATTACAGTTTTTTTCTTACATACTCAGTGGAAATTGTGTTTACTTTGAAAGGGGCAGGAAAAACACCTTTGTTTTCATGTCAATCTCATTCTTTTCCTGAACACTAGTCAAAGGATTATTTTCATTCTTCTGTTCTGGCCCAAGCTGTGACTTCAAGTATGAATAAATAAATAAGGCCAGGTGCAGTGGCTCACTTGAGCTGCACCCTGGCCTCGTCATCTCAGCATTTTGGGAGGCTGAGGCAGGAAGATTGCCTGAGGGCAGGAGTTCAAGACCAGTTTGGGCAATATAGCAAGACTTCGTCTCTACAAAAAATAGAAAAATTATCTTGGCATGGTGGTGCACACTTGTAGTCCCAGCTAGTTTTAGCCCAGGAGTTAGAGGGTGGCAGTGAGCCAGGATCATGCCACTGTACTCCAGCTTAGGTGATAGGGCAAGATTCTTTCTCAATCGGTCAATTAATCAATAAAAAAACAAACCAACCACAGATGTAACTGGAAACAGACCTTCTTCCTTCTCTCTGTGTCATATGTTAGATGCTATTTAAGTCATGGATTTGAAAGTGATTGTTTTCTTGACAGTTAAATGGCAGGAGCAACGTGGCACAGAATATAATGTGGAAACCCTGTACCTAGTGCTGGTTAGAAATCCCTGTTTACCTAGAAGCAAGACAGGGTCTGAGTCTGTTTCCCAGGTTGGAGTGCAGTAGCATGACTGTCGCTCACTGCAGTGTCCATCTCCTGGGCTCAGGCAGTCCTCTCACCTCGGCTTCCTGAGTAGCTGGGACTACAAGGCATGTGACACTATGCCCAGCTAATTTTTCTTCTCTTTTTAGTAGAGACAAAGTCTCACTATGTTGGCCAGGCTGGTCTCCAACTACTGAGCTCAAGTGATCCTCCTGCCTTGGTCTCTCGAAGTGTTGGGATTACAGGCAAGCGCCGCTGCACCAGCCAGAAGTGAGACTTTCAGAGTTGGATTTCCCGTGTTGCCAATCTTGCTTTTCCTTTCACCAGCAGGTTAAAGGAGTTGTGGTACATGACAGCTTTGCTTTTTTCCTGTTCCAGGGTTACTACCGAGCTGGTTATTCCTTGCTGAGGTTGCTCCAGCCTTATGAAGCCGCCCGCATGTTTTTTGAGGGTCTGCGACTTGTGCAGAGAAGCCAAGACCAGGCACCGGTGGCTGATTTCCTTGTTGGGGTCTTCACCACTATAAGCAGTAAGTTGGAGCTGGGGAAACTTTTTGTAAAGTCCTTGTTATTTTATTCTAATAGCTCCTGGGGACTCAGGCTCATGGGGAGATAATTTCTGAGTGTTTCTTTGTGGCTGATTTATGTAGTTTAATGAAACTAGTTCACACATTAGAAAGCATTTTGGAAGCTTCAGTGGCTTCTGCCTTTGTGAAAACAATGAAGTTCTTTTTGCACAAATGACTTAAAGCTTTGTGAGTTTGGTTTTGGACTTTTTTTTTTTGAGGTGAAGTCTCGCTCTGTCACCAGCCTGGAGTGCAGTGGTGTGATCTTGGCTCACTGCAACTTCTGCCTCCCGGGCTCAAGTGATCCTCCTGCCTCACCTTCCCAAATAGCAGGGACTATAGGCACGTGTCACCATGCCCAGCTAATTTTTTGTATTTTTAGTAGAGACAGGGTTTCACTATATTGGCCAGGATGGTCTTGATCTCTTGACCTCGTGATTAGGCCGCCATGGCCTCCCAAAGTACTGGGATTACAGGCGTGAGCCACCACGCCCGGCCGATTTCAGACTTATTAAGTGTTTAATGTTGCTATACATAGAGATTTCCATATTTATACTACTCGCCTGATGTTTTGCTCTTTCCTGTGGTTTTTCTTTTTTTTTTTTTTTTGAGATGGAGTTTTACTCTCGTTTGCCCAGGCTGGAGTGCAATAGTGTGATCCTGGCTCACTGCAACCTCTGCCTCCCAGGTTCAAGGAATTCTGCCTCAGCCTCCTGAGTAGCTGGAATTATGGATGTCTACCACCAACGGCTAATTTTTTGTACTTTAGTAGAGACAGGGTTTCACCATGTTGGCCAGGCTAGTCTCAAACTCCTGACCTCAGGTGATCCACTGCCTCAGCCTCCCATAGTGCTGGGATTACAGGTGTGAGCCATCGCACCCAGCCTTTCCTGTGATTTTTCACATGTATGTTTCTAGTCTATTAAGAAAATATTTATTTGCTATGAAAATAACCTGGAAGGGCTGAGGGAGGGTCCTGTGAAAGCTGATAATGGGTGCTCTGTGTCAGGGCTGTGCAGCTCACTGTCTGGTGTTGTAGAATCAGCAGAGGACCTACGTGCTCAGCCTAGTAGGGAGGGGAACCTTTTGTGTTACTGCATTAAGTTACTACTCTGATGACCTGGCCTAAGACATAGCTTTGTCAGTGGCCTAGATCAGGCAAAACCAGAAACTCGTAATGCACAGTGAATAAACTCACTCCTTGCCAGTGATGGTGCAGTCTAAAGTCCTGCCAATAGCTAGGCTATTGTTTTTAAACACGGTGTTTGATCAAATTTAAGTTGCACTAAGAGTGCTGTTAATTTATGCATTGCTAGTGAGAGACCACACTGATTGTAAGACACATCCTGATTTCAGAGATGTTAGAATATAAAAAATGGCACATGTTGGAATTTCTGAAAAATGATCTTTGGCTTTTAAATGTGGGGAAACCACAGCTGGCAATTGATAGACTGTTCCCATTGAAGTTGTGGGAAACCAACTTCTGTGTGTGATCTGTGGGTAGAATCCCACAGATTTTGACAAGTTTGGTACAGAGAGGGGGTTAGAGCAGTAGCAGGCAGTGGGAGAGAGAGGCAGCTGCAGCCATGTCCCCTAGACAAGGAAGTAGGGGGTCTCCGGATAGGTGATGATGGGTCACAGCCCTCCACTCAGTCTTTTGTCAACAGTGGCCAGCGCTAGCTTCACTTTATTCCTAACCTGGTGTCTTGGTTGTTTTCCCCTGTACTTCCTCATTGCCTTCTCTGCATATGTATATTTTTTTGAGATGGAGACTCGCTCTGTTGACCAGGCTGGAGTGCAGTGGCAGACCTAGGCCCACTGCAACCTCCGCCTCCTTGGTTCAAGCGATTCTCCCGCCTCAGCCTCCTGAGTAGCTGGGATTACAGGCGCTGCCACCACATCCAGCTAATTTTTGTATTTTCAGTACAGACCAGGTTTCACCATGTTGGCAAGCCTGGTGTCCACCTCCTGACCTCAGGTGATCCCCTCGCCTCCACCTCCCAAAGTGCTGGGATTACAGGCATGAGCCACTGCACCCATCCTCTGCATCTTTTAAATGTCACTATTCTGTCAGAAGCTAGGCCAGGGTTATGGGAATTCCAAAACACTGCTTCCTGATGACTGCCCCTTGGTAACCTGGGTGGTTTGCATTCTGCCCCACCCTGAAAGGGGGCAGTTAACAGGACTTCTTAGGGCAGTGCATCCAGTACTTTACCAAAGTACTCCTTTTTGGAAGGTAAAGAAATTGACGTGACCTAGTTTCTAAATTTTGAAAAATATATTTGTGGGAAACTTTATATCCTTTCATAGAGTATACGTTGGTTTTGATATTTACTTGTTTTTTGAAATTAATAACCTTGGAAGAGGTGACAAGTTATTCTGACTCTTGACCCGTCCCTTTGGACAGTCTCATCTGTGAATTTGAGAAACATGATTGGAGGATCATAAGGTGTAATAGGTTGATGGGTTACCAGGCCAGAAGAATGTATACTGATGACAAGAGTTGGGAGATCTGGGTTCCAGTCTTGTTTCTTGTCATGAACTAGCTGCATGATATGCCGTGAAACCTATCTTCATTTGTCATAGTTTCTAATCTTGTAGGTAACAATGTTTGTCTCATTTTTTTTAAAGGAAGTGAGTTTTGTGACTTAAGCTTCCATTTCCTCCTCTGTAAGTGGAGATAATAGGTACTTTCTCAGTGGTTTGTTTGAGGGATTAAATATGAGCACAGATCATGGGTCTTGGCAACTAGAAAGGCAAAGTGAACGTTAATTATGCTGCCTAACTCTTGGGGAATTGATTTTATGATGAACTGAAAATAATTGCCACTTTAATCAGTTATAAAGGACTTCATATTACTTTGAAAATGCCTTTCTTTTGGGTATCTCTAATTTACCATTTGTCTTTGTGGGATCTTAATCGGAGGACCTTTTCTCAAATGCTGTCGACTTTCCCCACTTTAAAATCTCTAAACTGTGAACCTTTCTTTCAGATGACTCCATTGTTTTGCAAAGTTTCTTGCCTTGCTTTGATCATATTTTCACAACTGGATTCCCAACCGAAGTGTGGCAATCTGTAATAGAAAAGTTGGCAAAGAAAGGATTGTGGCATGTAAGTAAAAGATGACGGCTCTCTCGTGGGGAGAGTACATTCTTGATTAAATGATTTCTTTTCATTGACACCGAGGGATTGCAATTTATTATTTGTTTATCTTGAAGCCAAGATGAGTTTTTAACTGGGACATCATTCAAGATGGAAAGTCTTTGAGATAGATAATTAGCCAGTTTCCGTTTATTTTTAAAGAATGGAGGAAAACACTTGGATTGTGGCAGCGTCACTCCTGTGTCTCCACTGTCATCAAAGAAATGTAAAGGACAGATGCTAAGGGTAGCGTGGAATGAGAAAAACAAGGTTGCCTGTTCATTTTCACAATTCTTTTTTATACTGATTAGCTAGTGTGTTCCCGGATGACCTATCTGGGCTGCTCCCAAGGGTTCCGATGTGGTTTTGAGGGACTGCTAACATTTGGATAGTAGCTAAGTGAGGTTGTATGACCAGAACCCAGGGCCAGGAATCCACGGAATGGAGGAGTGGGTGGACTGCGGAGACCTGGGCTTCAGTTTCACACAGATGTGTCCTTGAATCAGGATCCTCCACCTACTATTTTCGGCTAATTACTTCCCCTCTGAGTTTCGTTTCCTCATTTGTAAGTTGTGTTACATAAACTTATTCCTTCAGAGTTTTGGTGGGAATTAGAAATAATGGACAAGAGCAACTATCAGGTAATGTTTGTTGAAGGCTTACAGTGCCAGGCGCTGAGCTGAGGAGTTTTATAATACCGGGCATATTCTAAGTGCCTGGTGAGTAGTAGTTGTCATTGGTGATAGGCCGTAAGTGCTCATGGGAATGTGCTAGCCAAAGCTAGGAGTTTGCTTAGAACAGGGAAACAGGGAAAGCTGGGCTCGCTAAAGCTGGGCAGTCAGAAAAGTCACCAAAAGTAAGGGCAACCAACCTATTAAAGACTCCTGATCCAAGCAGGTTGGGTGACTTTAGAATAGAGAATTCTTAAATTTTGGGCAAGATAATGGATTCTGTTGGAAATCTAATGAAATGTATGGGGCTCTCTTGTCATGCATTGACAATTACGTATATAGTTTCAGGGGGCTCATAGGAAGCCCCTAGAGTCTAGCCATGGGCTCCCTGAAGCTTACCCCCATATTAAAAAATCTTAGGAGGGCAGGCAGCAGGGATGAGGAAAACAGATTGAACTCTTGGGGAGCCAGTAGTCAGAAATCCAGGGTCCTGTTAAAAGACATTTGGGATCTTTTCTCTGTGGATAAGGCAGCTGGACCAAGAGACCCATAATGATCCTCTCAGCATTATTTTTACAGAAGTTTTGAAATTCTGTAATTCCAAATTCTAGGTTAGATCTATGAGTAGGAGGACTTAGGCCTCATTAGCAGGAATATAGTTTAATTTACTGCACTCAGAAAAAGAACCTTGTCCTCTCTTCCCAATGTGGGATGGACATGAATAGAGCTCCATGGCCTCCGTAGAGAATGAGAGAATGGGAGACAGGCAACTCCTAATAGATGATTGTTCCAGCCAGTCACAGGAGGGCCCAGGAATCCAGCCCAAGTGGCAGGTCCAATATCCTGCCTGCAATGTGGCTCTGGTAATTCCCAAATACTGTAGACAGAGGCATCTTTTAAAAGGCCAGCAATCTGGACTGCTAAAATCCTGAACATATTATGTGGAGTTGAGTGTGGGCAGTGAGGCCTGTTTAGGGTAAAAAGTTAAGAATGGGTGTCACGGAAGTTGCAGTGAGCTGAGATCACACCATTCTACTCCAGCCTGGGCAACAAGAGTGAGACTGTGTCTCAAAAAGGGGGGGAAAAAAAAAAAAGAATGGGTTGGCTGGGCACGGTGGCCATGCCTGTAATCCTAGCACTTTGGGAGGGCAAGGTGGGCGGATTGCCTGAGCTCAGGAGTTTGAGACCAGCCTCGGCAATACAATGAAACCCCGTCTCTACTAAAATACAAAATAAGTAGCTAGGCATGACGGCATGTGCCTGTAGTCCCAGCTACTCAGGAGGCTGAGGCAGGAGAATTGTTGGAATCTGGGAGGTGGAGGTTGCAGTGAGCCAAGATTATGCCACTGCACCCCAGTCCTGGGCAACATAGTGAGATTCCATAAAGAATGGGTATCAATCTGAAGGAAACTAGAAGCAAGATGTGGCCATGGGCTCAGTTCCTGTCGTCCGAAGTCCACTGGCAAGAGCCATACATGAGAGAGGCTGGAGCCGAGACTAGTTCTCCAGTCATGGTCATCACAGAGCTAGGAATTCTTACACCTGGTAGCATACCTGATTGATCTCAGTAGGGGCTTCTCGGGATGTGCTGTGTGACCTAGGAAAACTGCTCAACTTCTCTGGGATTTATTCTCCTCAGCAACTTAGCTAGAGTCAGTGTTTTAACAACTGGGTCTCTGAAAAAAAAAGGGTCCAGAATTTGTAGCATTTGCTAGTTTTGGTAATATAAATACTCTCGCCATGGCCAGTTTCCAGCTGCTAAGATGACATACAAGACCTGGAGTTAGGAAGAGGTGTGCAGTCTACTCAGTAGCTGACGGGAGCTGGCTCCAGCATACCGCTTGACAGGGTCTAGTGGGCTCCACGTACTCGGGCTTTTAAAACACTGATGTGCGGAATCATTGATTGGAATGGGATATTTCCAAAGGATTTGAGTCTTCCAGTTGCTAAGCCTTAAGAATTTGGCAGGGAATTACTTTTTTTTTTTTTTTTAATCCCATTGCAACTCTACTGTGACATGCTGCCTGACATCAGCTGTTCCTGTCCTCAGCAGGCTTTGAGGAAGTGTGGACGGGCTGTAGTCCTCAACAGGAAGTTGACTAGACAGAGGCTTTGATTATCACAGCAAATAGCTGAAAATCTTGGCAAGTGCTTTAAAAAAAGACGAAGCTAGAGAGTGTTTTTTATTTGCTTGTTTTAAAGCTTGATAGAAGGTTTGTGCTCTAATAACCTATGTGGAGAACAATATTATTCCAGCCTTTTCTTTTTTCTCCTTCCACCAGCCTTTTCTACTTCTGTCAGCAAAAAAAGACCGGCTGCCAAGGAATATTCACGTCCCAGAGTTATCACTGAAAAGTCTCTTTGAGGTAAGGTGATTTTTTTTTTTTTTTTTTGAGATGAAGTCTTGCTCTTTTGCCCAGGCTGGAGTGCAACGGCACAGTCTTGGCTCACTGCAACCTCTGCCTCCTGAGTTCAGACAGTTCTCTCTGCCTCAGCTTCCTGAGTAGCTGGGATTACAGGCGCCTGCCACAATGCCTGGCTAATTTTTGTATTTTTTTAGTAGAGGCAGGGTTTCACCATGTTGGCCAGGCTGGTCTTGAACTCCTGACCTCAGGTGATCCACCTGCCTTGTCCTCCCAAAGTGTTAGGATTACAAGAGGAGCCCCCATGCCTGGCCTCGTAAGGTAATTTCTTGAAATACATGCTTCCTTGTGTCTGGGACATTTTCCTTCAGCTGCCTTACCAGAAATTTGTTATTTCTAATAATGCTAGGCCTGGACCACAGCTAATCCAAGTTATACTGATTCCACACTTTATGGGTAAAGGAGTTTGAAGCTTCATCTTGACTGGTGACTTCCATAATTTGTCCTGTATGTGTGTGTGTGTTTTTTTCCAGAAATACGTTTTCATTGGACTGTATGAGAAGATGGAACAGGTGCCCAAGTTAGTCCAGTGGCTCATCTCCATTGGTGCAAGTGTTGAGACTATAGGACCATATCCCCTTCATGCCCTCATGCGACTCTGTATCCAAGCCAGTGAGTCTTCTCCCAATTTTACAGCCTCTGAGGTGTCCTTCCAGCCATTCTGGGACTCTGCTGAGCTCAAGTGAAACTAGAATTAAGCCACTTGAATGCAGACCCTTTAAATATTCAAATGATCTGATTATTCAAATGAATGAAGCATCAGGGAAATAGCATCATTTTTATCTTTCCTGGCACCTAGTAGCTGCAGAAGGCCCAAATGGAAAGGATTCTGTGTTTCTAGAGAGATCCTGGCAGCAGGGTGGAGTCCTGGGACCCAAGGAAGGGACTTAGGATAGACAGGGGAAGCAGCTAAGCGAGGACGTGATCCTAGTGGGGTCACTCCGCCCTGACCTCAAGAGCAGCTCTGCAGCAGGAATGCACCACACTCTGGACCATCTTGAGGCACTGGGGCTGGCCTTTGGAATCCCTATGTCAGTCAGTCGAGAGCTACAGAGTGCACTCAGGGAGAGAGCCAAGGTCCGGAAGGAACCTCTCTGGGAAGTGGTTGCTGGGCAACGCTCCCAGGAGACCTGCCGAGTCTCCTGCCGGCAGAGGCAGCTTTGGTCTTTTTCTCTAGGTTCATTTTCACTTTAGCCCAGAGGGCTGACTGCTGTGTTGTGGGACACACGACACAGTCTCTTGGCTGGGGGGACCCCCACCCCAAGGGAGACGTGAGCTCTTGCTCATACAGTTTGGTTGTGCTTCTTTTAAAGGACTGCTATTTTCATGAAATTCTTTTTTAAGCTTCACCATCTGGTTATAGGGTGTAACTTTAAAAATATTTTTATTTTATCATTAACACACACATACACACACACTCACACTTTAGCTAGAAGTTTGTTTTTCTTTCCAAGCACACGTGGCATCACTGTGGGACATTCGCCCATAGCATTTTAGTGCCAGAAGGGGCTGAGAGAACTTGTCTAGTCTACCTCTTATAGGCTGTATCATTTCCCCGGAACAGGGGAGCAGGAGGTGGCCATGGGGCTTGAGGCCTGGGACCCCTGTCTTTGCATTAGCTAGATTTATCCTGCTGTTATTTGTTTTACATAGTGGGAAATTTATAAGAGATTTTTTTTTTTTGAGAGTGAGTCTCTAGTCACATTAAAAAAAGAAAAAGAAAAAGAGAGTGAGTCTCATTCTATCACCCAGGCTGGAGTGCAGTGATGTGATCTTGGCTCATTGCAACCTTTGCCTCCTGGGTTCAGGTGATTCCCCTGCCTAAGCCTCCCAAGTGTCTGGGATTACAGGTGCCAGCCACCACACTTGGCTAATTTTTTTTTTTTTGCAACATAGTCTCACTCTATTGCACAGACTGGAGTGCAGTGGCACGATCTCAGCTCATTGCAACATTTGCCTCCCAGGTTCAAGCGATTCTCCTGCCTCAGCTTCCTGATTACAGGCTCAATCTCAGCTCACTGCAACCTTTGTCTCCCAGGTTCAAGTGATTCTCCTGTTCAGCTGGGGTTATAGGCGCCTGCCACCACGCCTGGCTAATTTTTTTTTTGTATTTTTAGCAGAGATGGGGTTTCACCATGTTGGTCAGGCTGGTCTCGAACTACTGACCTTTTGATCTGCCTGACTTGGCCTCCCAAAGGGCTGGGATTACAGGCGTGAGCCCCACCATGCCTGCCCAAGAGATTTTATTCTTACACAGAGATTGGTGGATCAATATTTAAAAGTAAAGCCTGATTGAAAGCTGCTTAATCTCATCCTCCCAGTTTCAGATTTGGAAACTGGAGGGCAGAGAAGTGTGGCTCTGGTTAGGAATGTCATGGTTCCCCGTTGTGTCTACTTTTTACGTTAGTTCCTGTGATTATAGGTGGTATCAGTAAGATCAGGCCTTCAAGTTGACACGTTTTAAACCTTGATTTGTGTCTCAGAGGAGAGCTCTGACATGGTGACAATTGGGTGTCCAAAGATTTGACAGAAGTGTGTGACTTTCTGAGATCTCAGGAGCTCTAAGGATGGAGTCTGGGAATAGAATTCAGTATATGTCCTATTGATGATAATGTAGTAGGGTAATCTCCCTAGAGAGACTGGTGGAGACTAGAGAGACTTGATTATTAAAGTGGAGGCTGTCGGGCCTCACCCAGATCCTCTTTACCACCAACCCCTCACCCCCACCTGCTGTCAATGGTGGCTGCTAACAACTCATAGCTGGCCCCTTGGCTAGAGACTTGCTCCTTGGTGACAGAAACCACTTCCCAGGGAGGTTCCTTCCGGACCTTGGCTCTCTCCCTGAGTGCATTCTGTAGCTCTTGATTGACTGACATGGTGATTCAAAAGGCCACCCCCAGTGCCTCAAGGTGGTCCAGAGTGTGGTGCATTCCTGCTGCAGAGCTGCTCTTGAGGTCAGGCTGGAGAGACCCCACTAAGATAATGTCCTTGCTTAGCTGCTTCCCCTACCTGTCCTGCCTCCCTCACTCTTTCTTATGCTGTCTCTAGCTCAGTTGCATGTATAAGAATCCCCATCTCAGGCTTCTAGGGAACCTGACCCACGATGATTATGGGTAACTTTCTATAACTCATCCTCTCACTTGACAAACACCTGTCTCCCCACACCTGTTTGTGGTGAGTGGAAACGTGTGTTGGATTCCTCATTTGATTACCTTAGTGTGGTCCACATTGACTTGCTTTGCTGATTTTCTTTCTTTCTTTTTAATCTATTGCTGCTGCCCAAATTAACTTTGCTGACTTTCTGTATGTGGAAAACATTAGTAAGTCATTTTAATTCCCTTCAGGGGAAAACCATCTTTTCCGGTGGTTAATGGATCACAAACCCGAGTGGAAAGGCCGCATCAACCAGAAGGATGGGGATGGCTGTACTGTCCTCCACATCGTCGCTGCCCACTCCCCAGGATACCTCATCAAGCGTGAGTAGCGCTCACACCCAGAGGCTGGGCTGTGACTGGATGGTGCCAGGCATGTGAGGACCCACAACACCGATACCTTGTTTTACCCATTCTATCCCTAGCTGGCTCAGAGGGCTAAACTTCCCCTTGAACTAAATATGATTTTGGTGGGTAAACTGTAGGCAGAAAGAAGGTGGGGCAAGAGAAGGAAGAATTGCTGGGCTTCAAGTGCTCTTTCGACTTGAAATGGCTTCTGTGGGGTTGAATGGTTCAAGAACATGGGCTTCTGACTGCCTCTGTTCTCTCCCTGGTCACATGGTTACGCATTTTATGTTCTGCCAAGTCAGTGTTAGCTGCCAGAGAGAAATGGTGAGTCAAACCGCACATGGTTCTGCCTTCATGGCACTTAGAATCTAACACAGGGACTGCATCTTCCCAAACGTGCTGGGACCAGATGGGGCACATGAGGGAGTGACGCTGGCACGTGAGGAAAAGCTGGTTCTCCTGACAGCGGGCACCGTGTCAGCCTGGGAAGCAGGAAGGCTGTGTTCACTCTCACAGAGCTCTCTGATGTCACTCATTTTTCTTGAAACTCTCAGACCCCCCTCAGTTTTTGCTTTCTGTTTGGGATGGAGAGAAACATATTTTTTCACTTAATGATGACCGACTCAGCCTGTGTGGAAGGGAGGTAACAGGAGTGGTGGGGAGCTTGTGCCTGGTGCTGCTGCAGCCTGGAGTTCATCATAGGAACCAGGCTGGGCTGTCATCTTTTGATGGCAAGAGATGTTGGACATCTGGATTTTTTTCGAGATGGAGTCTTGCTCTGTCACCCAGGCTGGAGTGCAGTGGTGCCGTCTTGGCTCACTGCAACCTCCGCCTCCTGGGTTCAAGCCATTGTCCTGCCTCAGCCTCCTGAGTAGCTGGGACTACAGGTGCACACCACCATGCCTGGCTAATTTTTTGTATTTTTAGTAGAGATGGGTTTCACCATGTTGGCCAGGCTGGTCTTGAACTCCTGACCTCTAGTGATTCTCCTGCCTCAGCCTCCCAAAGTGCTGGAATTACAGGCGTGAACCACCGCGCCCGGCCCAACAAAATCTAGATTTTTTAAAACTATGAAATCGTGTGATTTTTCAGCTGTCTGTTCAGATTTAAACACACCTGTAAACTAGCCCCAGCCTGAAGGCCTCCTTTTGGGGACCTCTGGGCTGCTGGTTATACCTGGGAAACCACACTTTTCTCTCGTCAGCATCTCTCAGGAGGAGCCAGGGAGGTTTGTTTCTCTGATGTCATTCCAGCCGAACTGGGACGCAGGAACCTGTGTCTAGGGAAATAGGGGAAAGGGTCTATGGATTTTTGAGCTTTATTGAACTATCATTCATATACTATATAATTTACCTGTTTAAAGGTGTACAGTTAAATGCTTTTCGATTTATTCAGAGTTCTGCGAGTATCATCACAATAAATCTTAGAACGTTTTTATCATCCTAAAAAGAAACTCCACATCCATTAGCGGTCATTCCATTTCCCCCACCCCAAGCCCTAAACACCACCACTTTTTGTCTGTATAGATTTGCCTATTTTGGATATTTCATATCAGCAGAATCATAGAAAATGAGGCCTTTCGTGACTGGCTTCGTATTTTCAAGGCTTATCCGTGTTGTAGAATGAATCAGTACTTAACTCCTTTTTATTGCCAAGTAATGTTCTGTTGTAGAAATATACCACATTTTGTTTATTCATTCTTCAGTTGATGGGTGTTTGGGTTGTTTCCACTTTCTGGCTGTTATGAATAATACGGCTGTAAACATTTGGGTACAGGGCATTTGTTTTCGTTTTTCTCACTAGATACCCAGGAGCAGAATTGCTGGATCACATGGTGACACTGTATTTAACCTTTTGAGGAACTGCTGGACCGTTCCCCAAAGTGGCTGTACCATTTTGCAGTCTCACCAGCAGTGTATGAAGATTCCAGCTCCTTCACATCCTAACCCTTGCTATTATCTGCTCTTCTGATGTTTTCTGCCCTTTAGTCCCTCCTTAAACGCAGTGCTATTCCGGCAAAGAAACTGGCTCTTCAAGAGAGAAGCCCTGAATTGTAGCATTTCTTGGTTTCCATGGTGTAATCGGGGTGTCCGATCTTTTGGCTTCCCTGGGCCACACGGGAATAAGAATTGTCTTGGGCCACACATAAAATACTGTAACTAACAATGGCTGATAAGCTTAAAAAAAAAGGTCTGTGCACAGATCTCAATGTTTTAAGAAAATTTGCGAATTTGTGTGGGCCATGGGTTGGACAAGCTTGAAAATACTCCCATGGGGGCTCAGTTCATGGCACCAATGTGAGGTCATGCAAGAGCAGGGAAGAGATCTGTGGCAGGATGACATTGTATTTGGTCTTTAGTATGCAGATACATATTAAGACAGATGTAACAAAACCTCATCATAGATAAGAGCAAAACGTACTAAAGAGTAATGGGTTTTGTTTTTCATACAATTTATTATAATTGGTACCAACCAGCTTGCAACATTTCTGGACATTAAACAGTTGACTCTTGTGAACTGATATGAACTGGGTCTCAGCATACCACTGTGCTAAAGGTAACATTAGCCTAGAATTTATGGTTAAACAATGTGCTACCAATCATTGTACTCTCTTTATGTACGTCCTATTCTGCAAATCTTCAAGAAAAAAATACTTCCTGCCTGCCTCTTTGATTTGCAAAAAACACATCTCCAGGTCTGCTGACATCCATGTGGCTTGAGAAGTATTTGGGTATTTTATATACGTGCTATGCCCTGGGTGCTAACTTGGTATGGGTTCCATTCAGATTTCAGCCAGCACTGTCCAATGCAAGTATAATGAGAGTCACATATACAATTTTTTTTTTTTTTTGAGATGGAGTTTCGCTGTTGTTACCCAGACCGGAGTGCAATGGCACGATCTCGGCTCACCGCAACCTCCGCCTTCTGGGTTCAAGCAATTCTCCTGCCTCACCCTCCCAAGTAGCTGGATTACAGGCATGCGCCACCATGCCCAGCTAATTTTTGTATTTTTAGTAGAGACGGGGTTTCACCTCGTTGACCAGGATGGTCTCGATCTCTTGACCTTGTGATCCACCCACCTCAGCCTCCCAAAGTGCTGGGATTATAGGCGTGAGCCACTGCGTCCATCCCACATATACAATTTAACATTTTTTTTACATGAGTCATGTAAAAAAAAAAGGGTGATATTTATTTTAATGATGTATTTTATTTAACCCATGTATCTAAAATATTGTCTGTGTTATTAAAGTACACATTATGAGGTATTTTTCTCTTTATTTTTGTTTTGTGCTATCTTTGAAATCCAGCACGCATTTCAGTCTCGTCACGACATCTCATCATGCAGTACTCACATTTCAAGTGCTCTATAGACATGTGGCTTAGACTCTAACCCATGTGTGGCTTAGAATAACAACTTGATACTATTTCTTATAAACACAGAAACCCTTCCAGCTTTCTGAGAGTTGGGAGGATAAAATATGAAGTAAAGAGAGGGCTGGCTGGGTGTGGTTGCTCACACCTATAATCCTAGCACTTTGGGAGGCTAGGGGGGTGGATCATTTGAGCCCAGGAGTTTGAGACCAGCCTGGGCAACATGGCAAAATTAGCTGGGAGTGGTGGTGGGCATCTGTAGTCCCAGCTACTCGGGAGACTGTGGCAGGAGAATCGCTTGAACTTGGGAGGCGGAGGTTGCAGCAAGCTAAGATTGAGCCACTGCACTCCAGCTGGGGCAACCTTGTCTCTAAAAAGAAAAAAAAAAAGGAGGGCCGTTTCTTCCTTCATAGAGATGTCAGTGTTGATTGCCACTATGACTTCCAATGAATGAGACTTCTCAACTCTCACAGGCGCCTTCTCCTCCTGCTCTCTTTCGTACCCTCTTCATCTTCCTCTTTTTTATCAGGGAAAATCTAGTCCCTTAAAAAATGTTTTATTTTGAACTAATTTTAGACTTACAGAAAAGTTGCAAAAATCAGAGGTTTTCTATACTCCCCTCACACAGCTTCCTCATAAAGTTAGCGTGTATATAACATGATTTCATTATGGACTTGGATATTTATTTTATCCTATGGGATAAAATCCAGTACTGTGATTATTTTGTTGCTAAAGTTGCTCCAGCTTTAGCCGTAAGGCGCTCCTTTAGACTGGGTTCCTTCAGAAAAGCCCCCATCTTTATTTGAGCGCTTCCTTACTTTCAGACACCACAAGATGTTCCAGGCTCACATTGTGTATCCCTATTCTAGCGCTGGAATCAATCACTTCTCTAAGGATCCCTGGTTCCTATTGGAGAATGTTAGAGGAAACGAGATCTGGTACTAGATACGCCATTGCTAAGTGGAAGGTCATTGTTTCTAGGACTTCTCGGCAGACAGAGCTAGGACACACGTGAATGTGCACTAACTGATGATACTACAGTTGTTATTATCGTGTCTGTCTGCATCTGTGTGAAAAACCATGAGTTCATACTGATATCTCTGATTCTAGTCCAGATGCCATGATCGTTTAGCCTTTTTTATTTATTTGTAACATAATTCGTCTACAATATATTTACTTAATCAGTTCTATGAGTCTCAGACTGGGTAACCCGTAATACCTCTGTGAGAAACACATTTACCGACTAGATTTTTATTCATTTTATGTTCGTTTATTTGCAGTGTTTTTTGTGTTCAGCCTTAGAGCCTCCAGCTAAGATACTGAAGGTTCTTTTCTTTCCCACTCCTTATACTGTGGTTATGGTAGTGATTTGTAGAGCACTCAGGCTCATTAGTTTTAGTGTGTGTATCCGTTTTAGGCTTTGCCCCACCCTGTGATTGGTTTTGTTTATATTTTGATTATATGAAGGGCATGTAAAATGCTACCATGGTTCTAGGAGTCAGAACTTTATAAAAGATAGGCTTAGAGAAATGTCACTTCCTTCTTATCCTTGCACCCCCACCATTTTCATTTCTTCCTCCTTTCTGCCCCCTGCCCATCCAGCC